CATCAAAAATATAGTTATTGAATTGAGACACGCTGTCTCGATTGACAATTTTGGATTTATACGCCTTTTTAAAATTGATTATTATGTGAATATTTTTCATTTAAACTACCATCTAGAGCTATTCATTGGATGTTCCATGGTCTGTATTAGTCCATATCTATTTATCATAATTCCGATCCTGATAACGATTCATTTCATCCAACAAGAGACTTGTCGTTTCCGCTTTGTCGAAACGTGGAAGTTGACGAACCGGAATGATATAACCGATATAATAGCTCTTTTAATGTGTTACTTTCAATGAATTCCCGTATCTACCCTGTTACTACGCAAATGACATAAAGATAGAAATGTCACTCATTCCTCTTGCGAACTTGTTGGTTATGATAGCAAGTTATCAACCGGTACCACGGGTAATACTTACGACTGCAGCTTAACCTTGGATTGTAGGTGAACCAAAGTAGGATTTTAGACCGACATATCGAAATACCGAATCTTGATCGATCCAATTTCTTCGTCTTGGAGCAAGTAACATTTCGTATTCGAAGTTGAACGACCGGCCGCAGGAATAGTGCCCCGTGGGAGTGCGAACGCGCAAAATTCGACTTCCAGCCAGAGACCGAGTTAATTGGCCTGCATAAACGCGCATACTTTTGGAAAATAATCACGGATTTATTTCGACGGAAAGGTGTTCATATACCTTCAGGCTTCCCTTGACGAAAGTGTAAACCAGTTAAATGTCAATACTATGGAATTTACTGGTCATCACATCAATTTATTTCAAATATTCGCTCGAGTTGAATATGATGTACATTTGGCACACATCCACTGCCAACAACGGAATGTCAAATATTCAAGTTAAATAATTGTAATATATTTTCCTTAACACCACCACCCTACTAGGTATCTCAATTACAAACCCATCTTACGTTTGGAATCGAAACTATCAACTCGAGCAATTTCAGCAACATGTAAACTTTTATTTGTATTACAACTTGGTTCTTCTCGAAAATTCTGAAAAAGTTCCAAATCATTTTTTTTTTGCATGCAGAGGTCAAATGTTTAATCGAAATTATTATTCAAAGGAAAAAATATATATTCATAATAGTGACTGCCTCGATCGAAACCTAGAAATTTCGTACACTTCGTGCAAAAATAATCGAAAGTTTCATTAAATAAATAACGGATCACCAAACATCGTGTGAGAAGTGAACAGTACCGAAATATTTAATCGACCGACATCTACTATATGATAGATCGTAATACATGTTTATTGATTGTTAACCTCTTCAGACTTCCAACATTTTTCAGCAAATATGTCGAACGAATATATTGAAAACAAATTCAAAGGTGGTCCCTATTCAATATAGACTAGCATACAGAGTTTGATTCAAAGCTTCAGTCTATGAAGTTTGTTGAGGTGTTCCAAACACCTTTAACAAAAAGCATGACAATATTCTCTTCCACAATACGTTAAAAATTGACGAAACCTCGAAAGCACCAACACATTATCGTAGTTTATCAACATTATTAGGTCGCCGGGAAACTATTGAAAGGTTTCACGATCGGCCAAGCAAATTCCCTGGTCGATGTTGTAACAACCAAAGACAAATCTCCGGATTTCGATGCTTGACGTTACGGCATATCGGCGAAAACGGGTTTCCTTTCGCTCCGAAGTTGTCGAGGAACGGGCGGGGCCGCCAACGGCGCAATCGAAGCCAAGAAATTATGCTGCGACGACGATTACGAAACCAGTACGTAATGAATCGAAGAAAATGTGTTTTATTCGAACTTGATGACGTGACGGTAGATCGATCCGCGACGAAATGCATTCCGAAACGTGCGCTGCAAATTCTGGATGAGGACGGTTGGACAAACGCATCATGCAACGAAACGCAAGATCATTATTCCATTGAAGTGCGAACTTGCGGTGCCGTTTCAGTGTAATATTTCAAACGCAAGCAAATGATACTTTTATCTATCTTCTATGATCTCTTTTTTCTATGGGGCTGCATAATTCTAGCAAAAATATTAACGCAACTTTGAGATTTTTTTCATCATCAGAAGCTGGTCTGAAGATGAAAGGGAGTAAAAAAAAATAGAAGGCAATGACTTAAACATATATAAATTTTGATAAAAACTTGACACTGCAATTAATTCACAAGAATATACATAGTGAAGAAAGGTAGATTAGGACGTTTTCTCAAGGTCTACTAGTCAAATTTTCAGTCTATTTTAGGATATTATTTGAAAAAATAACCCAGATATATTATGAGTATCTCTCAAAATGATATATCGTGGATGTTAATTCCGCCTTAAGTTAATTCGATATCGAATATTTTAACGATACCAGGATATATTGTTGGCTTCAACTTACATTTAATCGCAGTGAATACTTAAGTCATAAAAATCGAAATCATATCGGAACTTTCGGTACTATCATTTATTAAGTTGTCCTTATTTTAATTGCTGAATAAGATTTAATTTTAAAATTTATAAAATTCCATCATTCAAAACAATTTAAAAAAAAAATTATACTAATATTCATGGAAGTAGACGATTAGATTTATGAATGAGATAGAATTCTCGCTTAACTCTTGGTGAAACATAATTGAATATTAAAATAAATTAAACTCTTGGCTTAATGTTTCACGATTTATTTTACAAAATGAATAGTCAACATGTTTCGAGCGTTAGCTCATTTTCAAGACAGATTTATGGTTAATAGTAGAAATACACACAAACCTTCTGAGAATTTACTCAATGAACAATTGGATTTAAATAATTGCCCATCGTTACCTTTTTCAGGTAAAGAATTTAGTTCAGTAAAGAAGGCCTTTGGGAATAACCCAATATTTGATAGTGTTGGCGTTTACTTGATGTAAATCCATTATAATTGAATATAAAATTAAATTCAAACACTTGAATTTATGATTTACACTTTATGAACTACATAGCATGACGCGTTTCGTCGTTACAAACGACTTCTTCAGATGCTTACAGAATAATGTAAGAATAAGATGCTTACAGAATAATGTATTATTCTGTAAGCATCTGAAGAAGTCGTTTGTAACGACGAAACGCGTCATGCTATGTAGTTAATAAAGTGTAAATCATAAATTCAAGTGTTTGAATTTAAGTTTATATTCAATAACCCAATAGTTACTCTTCTTCTTAAATGAATGTAATTCTACAATGTGAAGAATGTTTCTCAATAAATTTATTTTATTAAAAAAATTTATATTTATAGAGTAGTAGAAAAAGTTATGACAATGAAAGTGTAAATCAAATTCGAGTATTTGATTTATCCTATAGTTGTAATGGATTCGCACCAAGTAAAAGATGCTAATACTATTCAATATTAAAGAATAAGCATTACAAAAGAAGATAAACCTAATGCAACATCGAACGTATAAAACAAGTTCGTATGATGAACAAAATAAGAATGTAATTGTCTCAACATTTTTTGGGGATATCTATTGTAATTGCAAATTTCTTAGAGGACGTAAGTTTCATGAAAATATTTAAAAAATTCCAATCAAGCTAGATTATACAACAGAAATGTTAATAAAATTATAGAAATATACAGGCTTTAAATAGACACAAAAACCGCTCATCCTTATTAAAAGTTGTTTTGAAAGGTTTAAATTTTTTTCCCTGGGTGCAGGTGGAATTTGTATTACGTAGTCCTCAGCAAATTCTTAAGGAAACAGTAAAAATGCTATTCCATTGCAAAAACGTATCCAGTTAATTTAAATCGTAAAAGGATACAACTTTTTTTTTGACATTTCATAACGAGTTTCTCAAAGATAACGGCAATAATTATTATTCGCGTATAAATGGCAACTTTGGATTGAGGTCCAGTTTCGTAGGAATAATTTAAAGGGGAAAGAACTTATCGAGTCAAGGATTGCCGGTACGTAAAACGTTTCCTGGTCCATTTTTCAAGAACGAACGGATAAAAATTCCAATAAGTTCGTGAAAATAATTCGAAGGGTACCTATATTAAATGGATGCGAATGACAACGCCTTATCGAATATTGACAATGCTCGTTAATTTTGACGGACAATAATTTGGCAGCGTTGCTTGCAATTACCCAATAAATCATTCGAACGTTATTGACATATATATAGAAAGTTTCGAAGAAAGTTGTCTGTCCGGAAGGTACGTAGGTACTTGTTTAGCAGTAGAAGGTATACCGCTTAGAATTAACAAGAATGTACGTAAACCTTGAGGCGAGGAACGAATGCTAGGGATCTTTACCTGAAGAAATTTACCACAGTTCTGGTTGCTATAAAACGAGATAATTCGGTTGTAAATTTCCATGAAACCAATACTGCCATAATGTCGGCACTCAGTCTACCCAATCAATTGTTGAATATTATTTTTCACGTTAATACGCCTAATGCTTTGTTTTAAATAGCGATGATTTCTTCAACCCGCCATCAACGTAATTAGTAGACATCGGATTATAGGCCCTATCAAAATGCCAAAATATGAATGCACATATGCCCTAAAAAAAAGTAAAATATGCACAATAAAAAAACATTTCCAATTAGAATTTACGTTTATTTTTAATATCATTATCACATCATAATAAAAAATACAATAAATATGAATATTTTTTAAAAATATAATATTTAATAAATTATAAGTTATTATTACGTAAAAAATAAACTTATTTATTATAATTTTTGTGACAGTAAAGAATAATATATTTTTCTAGGTTTTCTGCAGCAAACTTTTGATGTTTGTCACTTAATATTAATTTATAGGCTGAAAACCTTTCAACATCAACTGACCGTCAACTTTCTTTATGGCTTCAAAACCAGAGGTTTTGTAGAAAACTGCCGGTTTAATTTGCAACGAATCTTTTGCGATAGTGAACTCGGAAGGGCGTTACTCTCTTCAATAATTTTGTCTATTATTTCCAAGGACTGGCACAGAGGAAAGTTTTTAGTTTCTGAATTGCATCGGGTATGTATATTATTGAAATATTGCTGTCTCCGTAGCTTAGTAGGTAGAACACCCGACTATGGTGCTGTAGAACTCGGGTTCGAGCCCCGCTGAAGGCATGGGTGTTTGTGTTCGTCTATGAGTTAAGTAGTTTGAATAATGAAATATGCTGGGTAATGTACATCGATTACAAGCCCAATGGCCGTTCGGAACCGGCGTTAAACTGTAGGTCCACTACTGAAATGGGTTGCAATAATAGCAATATTTTTTTTATTGCAGGATCCTGTCAAATTTTCCAACTACTTTTATAAAATTGTTCTGGGGGTAGCGCTACGTTTGGTAGCTTTATATGCTTGTACTCGCGATGATGTTTTAAAAACACTTTTTTTGTAAAAGAAATCAATTAATTGACTATCCCGAACTCGTTTCTAATCTCTTTCGCAACTCGATGTAATATGTTGGCTAGGCATTTCTTTTTTTGCCATATAACATGCCAAACACGTGTACTATCGAAATAAATCACTATCAATGAAATGTATCAAAATATGCAATAACGCTATAAAAATAGATATTTATATGCATTTGCATATGCGAACATGCAAATGCATATATTCGATGTCTAGTAATTATATTTTTTTATAATAATTCACACTTTTCGTACAATCGAGTTTTATACGACACTTTGCACTAAACTCAATTTATTTGTATTACTCATAGCATGTATTGTATTTTTTCACTTGGTATGTATAAAAATATCGCGCCCCTCAATTCGAAATCGCATGAAAAAAATCGAAATGCTTGATTCTAATTATTTTCTACATGAGTAAGGTGATCTTTACCCGACTACGGTGCGGTAGAACTCGGCTTCGAACCCCGCTGAAGTTAGCGTGTATCTGTGAATTGAAGTTTAAATAACATTGATTAAAAGCCCAATGGTCGTTTGGAACCGCCGTTAAACTGTAGGTCCACTGAATAAAAAAAAGGGTGATCTTCACTATGAAGCTACACGTAAAAACGGAGAGATCGTTTAGATCCAGAAAACGATATTATTCTAAATGTATTTAGAGCGATTAAATGTATCATTAATCAATACGCTGAAAGAAATTAGTCAACGAAAAATAATTAAAGTTTCTAAGCTGTGCTTATTTTCGATAAGATCTTGCCATGATTCTTAAGTCAATGTTTTATTTTTGGAATTACAATTGATGTTCATGAACCAATTAAAAAACACAATACAAAAAGAGAAAAATGCATATATTAATGTTTACTCAAGCTTATTGGACGAGTGGGTAAAAGCTTTGCTTAAATTTGTTGATATCAGAGGATAGTTAAAAATTTGTAATAAGTTTGCCTAAGTAATACTTGAACAGCCTCAGAGAAGCTTCTCTGGCAAGTTTCTAAGCTGTGCTTATTTTTGATGGCATCTTGCCAGTCTATGATTCATTTCTAGAACTACAATTGATGTTCATGAATCAATAAAAAAATAAGAGAAAAATGCATATACCAATGTTTACTCAAACATACTGGAACAGAGGGTTAAAGCTTTGCTTACTTTTGTTGATAGGATGAAGAGGATAGTGAATAATTGTAATAAATCTGCTTAAGTAATACTTGAACAACCTCAGAAAAGAGAAGCTTCTATTGATTTTATTTATTTTTGTCTTGAAGTTATTGCTATATTTTAAGCAGTAATTAAATAAAAGGAACAAATACTTTTGAAAAAGAAATGCATTAGGAAGGGTCTATGCGTGAATCTGTATTTTATGTTTAATTTTATCCGCTTGAGTTAAATTATGATCCATTGGATATTATGAAAAATCATGAAATGATTTTTAAAAAAATCAGATGATACACTGTTTGTGTATTTTTCCCGCAAAGCTTACATTCTTAATTTTAATCTGGATTTCATTCCATCGTAGAGATTTTCAATACAACTAATGGAAGCTCTTGGATGAAAATCAACAATGTATTTCAACATATGGTAGATTAGTCGAAAGGAGAAATTTGAAAGAAAAATAGCAGATGTTCTTTCAAAACTATTCAATTTCTTTGAATGTGGTATAATACTACTAAACACACTTTAACTAACGAAAATGAGCACAGTTTGTCCCATCGACGCCATTTTACACTTGAAAGATATTCAAAATGTGGTAATAATGATAATAATAATACATTTATATCCAACAGATATACTTCCAATTAAAGGGAATAAGGGATATAACAAATTGAATACAAACAATAATAAATAAGAAAAAGTAAAAAGAAGGTACCTATTTTAAAAGTAGAACGATATATAAACGAATATATGTAACGGAAATAAACTTGAAATTAATTGAAATAGTAATATAACCCCATAGAACAAATTAAAAATTCAATATTACAAAGTCACACGTAGAAAATAGATAAAACGATAATTAGAAAAAACGTTGTGGAAAGTATAAGCGCCCTTTGTGTTAATTTTAATTGAATCGTAAAAGTAAACAAACGCTTAGAAAACAATCTAAACTTTTCACAAATGACATTTGAAATATGTTGAGACAAACAAATTGCTTTATATTAATCTTGGATAACTTTCGTTTTATTCTGTGTCTTTATCAGTAAAACAAATTAAATGTTATCATTTAATGTAATAATAATGGAAAAGATGAAATGACCCTGCATTAACAATATTTCGCAATCGCTAAAAAAAACGAAAGAGAATAATTTCAACGATAAGATAATTTCGGAATGTTCTATGAAAATAACAGATTGGATCATATTTATGTGACTTAATGTCCATACCAAAATAAGTTATCATAAGTAATCAGTTCGAAAGAATATTGCTAACGATAGATTTATTTACCAGTAGGTAGGTGAAATTGCAGGTATAACAAAAAAACATTACGAGAAATATTACTAAATAAAGTAAATAAGGCTAATGATAAAATGATGATTACCTTTTTTCAAAAATACACAAAATCTACGAATACACTTTTAATCTTTTCAAACTATCCTGCCCAAACGAAAATTAATTTCAAAGTGAAGAAACTACCTGCTAAAATAGCAATATACCTTAGTCCCACTACCTCCAAGTGTCGAAATCCTTCAACCCTACGAACTACCTGCATCAAGGGTAATATTTACAGGATTTCAACATCAGTAACATACTGGGAACTAAATACAAAATTTCAAGAAATCAAAGTATTCCAACTAAAACTTCCACTTCAATCCACTTCAGTGGAAAATATTGAAAAATTTGGTATATTGAAAATTACACAAAAGAATATTATGTCCCTTTAACCACTTTGGGGTAGTTGAAGTTAAGAATTTTATTATTTTATTGTGCCACAAACTGTGTGCCTGGAAGAAGTTGAGAGGGTTTTTAGGTAATTGAGAGCATTTACTATCCTCTAGCCGTTATGTTCTGGGTTAGAAATCTGAAATTCTCGAAAAATAACAGGCAAATAAAATACCGAAATGGTTACACAACATCCAATACATGTTTTACCTTGCTCTCAACATCGATGATCATCGAATATCTATATTGGTCATGCGTGAGGCCGCGAGTTAACATCAATATCGATTCTGTCAACATCGATGTTACGAAATTTTTCCTATAGCAACATCGATGAAAAATTAAATTTAAGGATGATCATCGAGCACCCTTACTCTGTAAACCGGATTTAAATTAAAAAAAAAAAGTTAAATGAAAATTATTCTCAATTCGAAAAATAATGTTTCAAAATTATAATAGAAAATATATGAATAAAGAAGAATAGTATATTAAACATTTATATAACCACAAATATAGTGTATAAACTTGGATAATTCGAGCTATATACCTATCATCAATACTTTCCTACAATCACTAGAAAAAAAATCTGAATAAATAATTAATATCCCCAAACATTGAGTTTAAATAATATCTGTGGATTTAGTTGTTTTTAATTATACTATGAGTTATAACAATGTTCCACCAATTAACACAGTCAGATTGAAATATGTAAATTTATACAAAAATCTAGTATAATAATAAAGGATATACTTATAATAAAAAAGAAGTTATTTTGCAAATGTTAAAATAAGATTGCCACTTGTACATCAAGGTGACGATCAAAAAGAGAAAACTGCAAGATTATTGGAATTATTTGTTTGGTGAATCAAAATTTATTTTTGTTTTATAAAGCGTTATCAAGGTGACGATCAAAAAGAGAAAACTTCAAGATTATTGGAATTATTTGTTTGGTGAATCAAAATTTATTTTTGTTTCATAAAGCGTTATACAGATGCCAAAGTTTAAATGCAGTTTCAAATTTTTATTGAACTCGGATTAATTGTGAAAGCGATTTGTTTTCTTTAATGTTTGGTAATTTCTTCAAGTCACCTCTATATGTACATTATTTTTTTTATGTTTCGTTTATATTATATTACCTATATTCTACTATTATTAGATGAGCATTTGATCATTCCAATTTCATCTTCACGTATCTCGAATGTCGTTGAAATTATTCCGAGAATGATAGAATATTGTCATTGTCTGTAAATCGGGATCGACTTTATCTAAATGCCAGATTAGATGTCACACGGGTATATTTTAGAGAAAAACCGTCCAATTCTAACGAGTCAACACGAAAACAACCAGGCGTATCGAAAGCCCACAAGCCCATTGTCAATGTAACTGAAAGATAATTAAGCGAGAGTACAATCTCACCTAAAACTCGTTGGAAACGATAACGTGGACGAGAAATTTTTGCGTTACCGAGTCCGCAGAGATAGTCGGTAGCGCGATAATCTATCTCTATCTCTCTCTCTCTGACCTAGACAATGTTCTAGAATGTGCAATACGGGGCACCGATATATTCATATGGGAGCGTATACGAAGATAGAGTGAGAGGAATAAGGTGCATGAACTTTCCCGGATCTGATGAACGTACACATACGTACTGCGATTTTGGACACGATCCAATCCTAGATTTAGGCCCCTAGTGACGATAATGTTGCCTGTTATTAAACTATCAACGCAGCGGGCAATTGTAACATTATCAAGCAAACAACAGTGCTAAAGAAAATATAACGTCGGGACGTGTCTTTTCGTTATTATTATATCAATGAAACCGAAAAAATAATTGAAAAATCAATA